GATCGATAACGACCCTGTACAAAGATCGTACATTACAAGATAGTTCACTCCTCTTTTTGAGCCAATTAAAAAGGTGTCCTCAAAATCCCATGGTGCCCTCTTTGAAAAGTGTGGACTTTGCGAACAGAGTTACTTTATTGTTGTGAAAAACAATAAAAGCGAAATTAACAAACTGTGCTATTACCATTTTTTTCTTCTGGAGAAACGAAAGAGAGCTTCAAAACAAAGACTGCAGCGCCATCTGAACCAAAGCGCGGACTCTGTTTTTGGCCGAGTGAATTATCTTGTTATATACAATCTTTGCCCTGTAGAAATAGAATAATATACATGATGGACGTATTTTATTCAACAAAAATATGTCCACAGAGAGATAGAAAAGCAGTATGCAAAATCGACCGGGACTATGTATGCCCTTACAACCCAAGTTTATCGGATGTCATAATCTGTGCCTGCTTGAGATTTTTAAACCTTACAGAAGGCGGAAATACCAAATTGATAACCATCATAATGATATTCGTGTTCTTTGTTCTGCTCGGAGTTCGACACTACTTCTCTTTTTGTACTTGTGAATCAAGTGTTCTCTCTCTCTCTCTCTCTCTCTCTCTCTCTCTCTCTCTCTCTCTCTCTCTCGCTTTCTCTCTCTCAGGATTACTTTACTGTATGTTTAAGAGGTCTGATGACATTATGCACCCCTGCCTAACTCATTGGAATTTAAAGGAGAATCTCTGCAATGAGACAATAGCAAAAGTGGACATGTCCAGACAAAGACAATCCCAATGGTGCCTCACATTTCTAAACATCATATGTGGCAATTTTTAGGCTGTGAGGTGAGACTTGAGGAACAGGAAAATGATATTCAGGTTTAGCTGCTGTATCCTTACACTACTTATATACCCTTAGACTTACTGGGGGCAACATTCAGGGTAAAAGTGTTTCCTTAATTCAGGCCCAGTGTCAAATTTTTTATCACAAATGACTTTTGACGGACGTCAACGCAATAAGACCTAACGATAAACAATTCTTGGGAAAAGTTAAAACAGACACAAGTCACTGAAGGAGACTACGCCCCTGGTGGGTTGGGGGTCTGTATAAATAAACCCATTGTCCCGTCTACATTGGTGAAACCCCTTCAATGCGGACATATCGCACATGGACACCCAAGTGTGGGAGATCTTCATCGGTGTATCTTCCTCTTCTCTTTCCTTCTCTCTCTCTCTCTCTCTCTCTCTCTCTCTCTCTTTCTCTCTCTCTATCTATCTATCTATCTATCTATCTCTCTCTCTCTCTCCTTCTTATTCTTCTTCTTCCGCCTTTTCCAGGTTCATGTCAGATCCTCAGTATCATCACCCACAAAGAGGAGGAAGGTGTTCCCCATGGAGGCATCCTTTCTTCTCTCCTATTCAAAATTAAAATAAATTCCATAATTCAATCAGGCCCCCAAAGACAGCTCATTATGCGTTGATGACTTTCTGATAAGATGCCATTCTAGAAATTCTCAAATCCTATGTAAAGACAGCCTCAAATGCAGCTGTTTAAACTTGAAAAGTGGCCAAATGAAAACGGTTTCAAGTCTATCTCCTCAAAGACAAATGCAGTGCATTTTTGCAGATCCTACAGACGAGCCCTGCTGACATATTTGACATTAAAAAGGGGGAAAGGATTCCCGTTCAGAACCAAGCTCGTTTCCTCGGAATAATCTTGAACAAAAAATAATTACCATTCATGCCCCATTTACAGTGGCGTCCAAACGAAACTTGAAAACGCATTCACCATTTCATGGTGTTGAAGCCTCGCACTACCAACTCATGCAGCATACCAGTTGAAAGCTTTAAAAAAAAAGTCTGCATCATCTTGTACATTAATATTTCATCCACGTCAGGAGTCGTCCGAGAAAAATCGCACTTGGCAAAATTGTGCATAATCAAAGAAACAAAAAAGGTGTTTCGCGCATGTATTGAGGTGTGTAAACATTGGTGGAATGGATGTGTATTGCATATTAAATGAATGGAAAATTTTCTCTCGGCAATCATCATCATCCAGTGCCAGATCTGCGACAGACATCGGCGATCATGGTTCTCCATTCATTCCTTTGCTCGGATGCTCTCTAAAAAGCTACGTTTCGCTGATCTTTTCCTGTTACCCATTTGTTTGGGACCCCCAAGTATGTTGTTCTGGGCCTACCCCTGCCTCGCTTGCCCTTTGGAAGCAAAGTCGTGTTTGTTGGTGTGATTTAATTTTTTCTGCTGACTTCAGATATTTTTGTTTTGGAGAGAGACATGGTTTTTTAAACAAAGAAAGTCAACTCAAAACTAAGTCGAACAAAATTAAGAGCCATGTGTTACGATAGGGTGAGAGAGAGAGAGAGAGAGAGAGAGAGAGAGAGAGAGAGAGAGAGAGAGAGAGAGAGAG